TGCTCATTTGTGTTTAAAACAAACACTTACGATATATACTGCCGCTGCTTATCCATCTCGGTAATACCTCCTTCATGTCCGTACACCATGATGAGGTCCACTTGATTCTCACACTTGACATCATTCTTCCCGTATGTAGGACATCTATCGAAGTCCGTGTAATCGTAGCTTCCTGGAAGAATAAAGTCTTGGTATTATTTGCAAAGTGTGACGGAAAATGACTGGCGAGTTATGAATACAACATACATGATTTGATCCAAGGAATGGGGGGGGGGGTAGCTCCAATTCCTGCTAAAAACTAACGTGAAACTATTTGTAAACATTCTGAGTATCGTCTTTAAATTCCAGCATACAGGGAGGATTAGGGAGGACAGGAGGAAAGGGAGGGTGGGAGTTTATAAGGGGAGGAGGGGGAGGGAGGGAGAGGGGAGAGGGAGATGAGGGGGAGAGTGAGGGAGAAGGGGAGGGGGGAGAGTGAAAGAGAAGGGGAGGGGGAGAGCGAAAGAGAAGGGGAGGAGGGGAGTTAGGGGGAAGGGAGGGTGAGGGAGATGAGGAATTATACTGCCAATAAAGTTAGGAATCCTTAACCTATAAATAGCTTCTCAATAAAGCTAGGGATCCGGTGGCCTGGTGGCTAAAGCTCCCGCTTCACACACGGAGAGCCCGGGTTCGATTCCCGGCGGGTGGAAACATTTCGACACGTTTCCTTACACCTGTTGTCCTGTTCACCTAGCAGCAAATAGGTACCTGGGTGTTAGTCGACTGGTGTGGGTCGTATCCTGGGGGACAAGATTAAGGACCCCAATGGAAATAAGTTAGACAGTCCTCGATGACGCACTGACTTTCTTGGGTTATCCTGGGTGGCTAACCCTCCGGGGTTAAAAATCCGAACGAAATCTTATCTTATCTTATCCTTAACCTAACCTTGTCAAACACTGTGTAAAAAAAAGGGGAAGGGGAGGGTGAGGGTGAAGGGAGGGTGAGGGTGAAGGGGAGGGGGAGAGAAGAGAGAAGATGGGGGAGGAAATCAGAGAGAGGTCACACTCATCCTAGGCGATTCCAATGTTTATACTGTTTGTCCCGTAGCTCGGTTGGTAATGCATTCAGCTCGCACAATGAGGTCCGTGGTTCAATCCCCGGTACGGGTGGAAACATTTGGACGTTTTCTTAAGACACCAGCTGTCCCTAGCAGTAAGTACGTACCTTGGTGGGTCGCATCCTGGGGGCAAAATTAACCTAATTTGCTCAAAAAACTGTACATAACAAAGGGCTTTCTATACAGTGTCACTGATGTCAGCTATGGTCTGTATTAGTTGTATCATGTACTTGTAGAAATAAAGGTTATTATTATTATTCTTACTTGGTGTGAGGGATTTTTAGTGCATACCTTGCCCGCAAGCTACAATATTATTATTGTTATAATCAAGGGGGAAGCGCTAAACCCGGAGGATTATACAGCGCCTGGGGGGGGGATGTGGAAGGCATTCAGGCTTAATTCGGGGAACTGGAGCACAGATCCAATTCCCTAAATCAAGAGCCCCTCACCAACATCGCAAGCTACAATAGCATTGCTTACTTTGCTATCCAGCAGGTTACAATAGCACGGCTTACTTTCTTTGCTATCCCGCAGGCTGTAATAGCATGGCGTACTTTATCCTACAGGCTGCAATAGCATGACTTTGCTGTCCAGCAGGCTACAACAGCATGTCTTACTGTCTTTGTTATCCAGCAGGCTACAATAGCATGGCTTATTTTCTTTGCTATCCCGCAGGCTACAATAACATAGGTTATTGTTTTTTGCTATCCCGCAGGCTACAATAACATGGCTCAGCATTTTCCGTTCCGGGTATAGGGCCATAAAAAGCAGTGGAAGGTGATAAATGGAAGGGAGAATTTTGATAAATTTCTTGATGGTTGTTGCTCATTATTTTCTCTAATATGTGTTTGGTGTACAACATATTAAGTGGTATGCAATAATGAACAGTATCTTGCAAACTCACGATTATGTTTATCTGCTAAATGGTTGAAAATTTCAGGAAGCATTCATACCTCCAAAAATATTAAAGCCCCTTTGCACTTTTTTAAATTACATGTAAATACTTTTTTATAAAAAATGTGTACGTATTTCAAAGAAAACTAAAATGTAAATGCTAATTTAGCAGATTTCAGATTTTATAAATGCTGTATATTACTGTATTGTTTGTATTATGCAGTATTTTTAACTGATTCTGGATTGATATTGAGCCCCATAAACTCACGTAAAAATCAAATATAACTTCTTCGTGGTTTCTTATTTTCATAAAAGTAGTTGCTGATATCTTACCCACGAATCTGGTGAATGCATTCCATACATTATTGAGAGCAGTTTGCATGCTTTTTTCTATAGAAGTGAAGTCATTCTGATACTCCACTACTATTCTCTTGAGATCAGCAAACTTATCACTGTAGGCATACATGAAGTTTAGAGCCTGGGGGAAAGAAGAAATGAATGAACCTAGAAATAAATGATAAAAACCCCTCAATAACCCCTCTTCAGCACTCTGAATAATGCTTTTTGTAACTCCACACCTCCTAATTTCTACACTACGAATTCTCTGCATAAAATTTACACCACACATTGCCCTTAATGACACGACATCGCCACTGCCTCCAGCCTCCTCTTAGCTGCAGCATTCACAACCCATGCTTCACACCCATATAAGAGCGTTGGTACCATTATACTCTAGTACATTTCCTTCTTTGCCTCAATGGATAACGTTTTTTGTCTCCACAGATACCTCAATGCGCCACCCACCTTTTTTCCTTGTCCTTCATAAACCCATCTGCTGAGAAATCTACTCCCAAATATCTAAACACATTTACTTCTTCCATACTCCCTCCCTCCAATCTGATATCCATTTTTACATTACCTAACCGGTGGTGTGCAGTCAAACTACAGTCATTAATGACCCTAACTCAGTTGGTAGATCGACACCATGCCTAACCCTTCTAGGGTAGGGTAGGTGCCTGAGCCCGAGCCTTTAGCTCATAAGACTGTCATTCCCATTTGCCCCCTTGGGGCGGGGATGGCAGACCAGAGAGGCCTAGCTTGTGGCTAGGCCTGGGGACAGTTGGTCCCAAAGATGAGGAAGTACTTGTGCCTCCTCCCATGGGAGACTTAGGTCTCAGACACTCCCTAAAGAGGGAGCCAAGGCCGGGCCACCACTTGGAAAAGGCCCGGGCCGGGAGAATACCCGCTAATCTTTAATAATAAATCAGTTGATAGAGTGGCGTGTCATCATATAACTAAGACCCGTGTCAGGAAACACTTCTGTTGCCTAACAAACCTTATCTAATCTAAGCTGTTGACAGACTTCAAACAGCACAAAATAATCTGTTTAATAGGATACTAATTAAATAATTTATATAGCTTATTCGGCAGCTATTTGTAAACAATATGTGGATACCTTTAAGGAATACGGTAAAATAATTTCTACCGTAGCTACCATGAGACTTATTATTATTAAGGAAAGCGCTAAAACGGTAATGGTCATGGAACCCTTGGGGAATGTGAGGCAGTCAGGTTTGATCGGGGTTATAATCCAGTTCCCTGGATTGAGAGCCCCTCACCAACATCAACCTGCCATATTAAAGTATATCCTGTTATTGTTTATTACAGTTACCCATAAAGCAGCTTAAATTGATAAAAAAAAATGAAGTGCACCTTAACATTTTTGTTAGATGAGTAAATAATTTTTAATGAAAAAAAAAAAAAAATAGCGTAACTAGAGCTTTTGGCAGAATGAAGAGTTCATTTTTCTTTCAGGTCTGCTTAATGAATACAAAAACACTAATGAGAGTGTCTCAACATTTTTCCATACTTTTAAATTAAATTATGAGGCACTTGTAGTATTGTATCAGTATCATCCTGTAAGTGAAAAGAGGGAGTTATATTTTATATACTCTATATACAGTATAATTCCCTCTTTTCATTGTATATGCAGTATAACTCGACACACACTGCAAGCTCTTTGACGTCAGCGCTGTAACTATGGTATACACTACTGATGGCTCATACTTGTTCTTTAATCATGTTGGAATCCAGTTTCTTGTAAGCTACCATCCTGTTGCAGGCACGAAAATCTGGGTTGTTGGGTACACCATGTTCACTATAATACATCTTCAGGATTTGTGATAAACTCTGTTTTGTTGACGATGATCTCAGATACGTAGAGATGAGCATGGCTGTTCAAAAATTTAAAAGTATTACCAAATGTCTTCTTAAATTGGCAACATTGATGTTAATGATAGTCTTGATTAATAAATTATCTCAAAATCTGCGTAACAAAACTAACCAATGATAGTTATACAAGGTATTTACTGTACAGCTGCAAATATTTGTTTATATTTTGTTATATTTATTTTAACTAAACGTCTTATTGTAAACATATTTAATTATTACAGTAAAATTTCCTATACAAGTCAGTTATATTTGCATATACGTACTGTACCTTTGTTTACCTCTACACTTCCCTCAGTGAATGCTCGCTCTTTAATTTGTAAGTTCCCCTTATTTCAACATCTTAATTAAGATATATATATATATATATATATATATATATATATATATATATATATATATATATATATATATATATATATATATATATACACATATAAGAATTATCATTTTTATACGAGATTATTTCAGAATCTGACTTTTTTTCCCCTCACCATCAATGCCAGCAAAGATTTCTGCTTGAGAAAGATACGCAGTGATACCATCGTAACCCTTTTCAAGAGTAAATAGTTTTGGGGCTGAAGTATAGTTGTTAAATTTTCCACTAGGACCTAAGTATATCCCACTTCCGGTGGTACCCACCAATCCTGTTGCTACAGCCGATTGTCCAATATCACCTAATGGAAGAAAAAAAAACAGATACATTGATTACTGTAAACCTATTTTTGCAATATTTCCAAAAATTATGGTTATGGTTCTTGACATACTGGAAAATTACTGAACTGTCTTGTGTATATTTAAGAGCCCTCTTGCACTAACTACAGAAACAATAAAGGTCTACAGCGTTTTGATTTCAAGATATTTAGTCTTCTTTAAGAACCATTTTTCTAATGTTTAAATTGTCTCAGGCTCAGCATAATACTGTATAGGTTTAACAAATAATACTCAGTCCTTTAAAAAACAATTATGTACTTTCTGAAAATAAGATTTATTTATTTATTTGTTTGATATTTATTTTAGAAACACTGTATGTTAATCGTAATTTTGAGTAGAAGCTAATGATCACAATTTTACCTGATAAAGTGGCGATATACAGAGGATCGAGGTTTTTATTTTGCATCTCCGCAGGCATGTAGCTTATTTGGCTATCACCGTAGATCTGTCTGATGGTTACAGTGCTCGTTTTATCTGCTGCCATAATACCTGTTGAAGAAAAGATCAGTATTTTGGGTTCCGAATATAAACAGTAGGGCTGTTATCCTCAGCTGTATAAGGAAGCACCATTGTAAGGAAAATGAAACAGGATACTCGTTTACTCTCCTCTTTCTTCTTTGCACTTAATGCAACGGTAGCTGATGGTGTACTATATCTCTGTGACTTGATAGTTACCTCATGTTCGAGTATTAAGTGATATTTACTTCATCCATTTCAAAATACTAACTGATGATGCACTCCAACTCCATGCATTAATTAATGTTGTACTCCATTTTCACCTCCATGTAGTCCTTTTCATTTACTGCCTATCGATACTTTTTCCATACTTTCCTTTTATTTTTTGCATTGCTGAGGTAATTCTTTATCCTTTCTAAACATTCTTGTTCATAATAGAAGTAACAAGCGATTTACTTTCAGACTTGACAAACAAGTTTGTGGAGTTATATGACCAATGTTCTGTGTTTTCCTTTCAAGAGTGTATGAAAGTCACTTGAAGTTTACCCCCCCCCCCTCCTTCCTCACTCTAAGGTTGTGTAAGTTCTTTGATTGGTTAGGTAAATTTAGCTATTTTATAACACGTAAATTTTGGTGAGGATAGGTTAAGTTGCTAGAATAATTTGGTGGAAAACTGAAAAGTCTCATATAAAAAAATGTTAATATCAGCTTTAAATTATTTTCTTCGTTGAGAAGGGAAAGCGAATCATCAAGTGATCTGGATTTTAACACCTTGAGCGTTAAATGCCTAAGGAATATTATGTAAATGGCCTTTCCCTCAAAAATGGGAAGGTCTGTGAAATACTAGAGCATACACCTAGAACAGAGCATGTAAAGCATTCCATTTCATTTTCTACATATAATATGAATGATTGCAAGTCAAGATTCAGAAGCTTTATCTACAATGATCTGGGATTTTTTCCAAAAAATGTATAAGAATAATGCCAGTGATTATCTGACAGCCATTATTAATACATTATAAACTTTCTTTGCTGGAAAATAATATCTCCTAATCTCTGATCTGAAAATTAATAGCGTACAGTGAAATCACAACAGCAAGTATTCTCTGGTATATAAAAAAAAGACTTGTACTATGGAGCACTGATAAAACTCCTCTTCTTAAGTACTTGTCATAAAGCTCAGTCTGTGAGGGAGTGGCACGACCATCCTGTGTGATGGATTTCATGTTAAGTAAATATAGTTCATTATCGTAGCTTACTAACTCTCATATAGATTAGGTTATCCAAATCACATAATTTTTAAATTACAGTATACTGCATATTTTGAAACTTTTTTTTTCATTCAATTGTTGTTCAAATGTGCTATAAGATAAGAACATTTTTTATGGGTGCGAACGAAGAGCTATTTTCATGGGAAGGCTTCACATTCTCAATATTAACTTTAATAAATGGATTCACGATAATAAGCAAGAACGGACGGAAATATTATTTACAATTTGTGGGTGTTGTGAAAGTAACAGAGCTAAACTTGTTGGGAGGATATGCTACGTCTGGGAATGAAAAGGGTTTGGATAAGGTTTAATACCAAGAAGGGGAGGGTAACTCAGATTCCTTGGATCACGCCTGTTTAACAGTATCAACCCCCCCCCCATAAGATTAATAGAACAGGAGCATATAACTATAAACTCTCATATATATATATATATATATATATATATATATATATATATATATATATATATATATATATATATATATATATATATATATATATATATATATATATATACACTGAGTTCATTTTATTCCGTATTTTTGACTTTAAAGTTTCCTTACAATTAATGATTAGAAAAATCGTGAGCTAAACTCCATTACACTAAATAGTGCAAGAAACATCAAATTCTTGTTTTAAAAATTTTTAACATTTCTATTAAAAGAAATGCAGCAAGTAACAATTTAAAGTTAGGAGAAAATTAAAAATAAATTCTGAGTTTCATACCTGAGAGAAGAGTTCCCACTGACACAGGTCCATAAGGAGTATACATGACCCCATTCTCGATAGGATGTTTAGCAGGATTTACTCCAGATGGCAGAGAGAGTTGCTGACCACTCCTTGTGGGATATACAATTTGGTTAAAATAAGATTTTGAAAGTTGTTCGTTCTATTACTAGGTGATTTTTGGACGTTTTCGGGTACCGGTAATGTTTAGCATATACATATAATCACTGGGAAGCACTAAACTTGTAAGGCTCTTACAGCGCTTAGAGAATGGTATGAAATTAAGTTTGATCTGAGAAAGTGGAGGTTAAAGCCAGATTCCCGGTATAAAAGAACATCCCCTGATTGGAAAGTTACTCACTAATCTATAAATTTAGTCACAGCGTTGTATTTGCTACTGCCAGACAGTATTCACTCATGTATGTAATTGATTTATCAGCTGTAGTCATAGGTAAATATAAGAGAACTTTAAGTAACCTGCCTATTTTTAAAAATACTATTCAGTTTTGTCCGCTACTTTTGTTCGGAAGAGCACTTCACAAGCATCAAGATGTCAGTATTGAACTTTATGCATCTAATTTATTGTCAAGCAGACAATAATTGTGATTATTATTATAAACAAAACTAAGCTCTAAACCCACCAGGGTAACACTAACTGTGAACTATGCTAGGCTAAGATGTCAACCATCACACTGGAATACGTTAGGTTTGTGTGTACAAAAGATGCTATTCAGGTTCCTGCTTGTTGTCATGATCATTACCCAAGACCTACAGGGTACTCTTACAGGTTAGTGAGATATAGTTCCACCAGCAGTGAAAAAAAAAAATGCCACAGATGCACGATGGTGCAAGCCGACGGATAACGAGTAAGACAGCGGTAAAAACCCGAGAATCCAGTTATGGACTAAACGTCGCAGTAAAGGTTTCCTTGCCAGCAGTTTGTCTTTCTTTTAAAGTTTCAAGAAGATATTGTATATACTCTGTATTATTATTTGTATGAGCGAAGGAACAACGCATCAAACCTACTGGCCCATGCCAGGCAGGTCCACTTCACATCCAATACTGTAACAACCAAACCTATATTTAAGGCTACCGAAGTTCTTGCCATACTCTGAGTTTGTCCCACTCATTTATTCTACCACTTCGCATTATCCTTTCTAAGTCTAAATTTGAATCCATTCCTGCGAGTCCTGTCTTGATCATCTGCAATACTTAATTTATATCTTCATTTATGCCTGGTTTCCATTTGCACACTTCAGTTATATCTCTTCTATTTCTACGTCTCTCTGAAGAGTTAAAGTTCAATGCCTTCATCCTATTTTCACATGAAAGATTATTTATTTCCATCCTGTAATATGGAGACCAGAACTGAGCAGCATTATATATATATATAATATATATATATATATATATATATATATATATATATATATATATATATATATATATATATATATATAATCTTTCTTTCAACGCACCAGCCATTTCCCACTGAGGTGGGGTGGCCCAAAAGGAAAAACGAAAGTTTCGCCTTTTAAATTTAGTAATATATACAGGAGAAGGGGTTACTAACCCCTTGCTCCTGGCATTTTAGTCGTCTCTTACGACACGCATGGCTTACGGAGGAAGAATTCTGTTCCACTTCCCCATGGAGATATATATGTATGTATATATATATATATATATATATATATATATTATATATAATATATATATATATATTATATATATATATATATATATATATAAAGTATAAAAAAGGTGTATATATATAAATTAAATATATATAGTTATATATATATATATATATATATAATATATATATATATTATATATATATATATATATATATGGAGAGTAAAAGATAGGTGAAGAGAGTGGTGAGAGAGTGCAAAAGGAGAGCAGATGATAGAGTGGGAGAGGCACTGTCAAGAAATTTTAATGAAAATAAGAAAAATTTTTGGAATGAGTTAAATAAGTTAAGAAAGCCTAGGGAACGTATGGATTTGTCAGTTAAAAACAGAGTAGAGGAGTTAGTAGAGGGGGAGAGGGAGGTATTAGGTGATGGCGAGATATTTTGGGGAAAACTTTTAAATGTTGGGGGAAAAAAGGGAGGCGGTAATTTTGCACTGGCCAGGGAGGATACCATCTTTTGGGTAAAGAAGAGCGAATGAAAAGTGGGGGGGGTACTGGGGATTACGGAGGGAAAAGGGGGTAAAGCAGTGGAACTGATGGGTCAGACAAAAATTTAAAGCGGGGGGTTTTATGTTGGGTGTTGGTATTTTGTTTTAAAGTATGAAAGGGGGAAGGTCCTAGGGATTGGCAGGAGCATGTATAGCCCATTTAAAAAAAGGGGAAGGGGGGACAAAAGAGATTGTAAAAATTATGGGGAAAATTTTCTGAGTATACCCAAAAAAAAGGTACGATAGGGTCATAATTGAAAAAAATAGAGTAAGAAGAATGTAGGATTGGGATGGCAAGGAGGTTACAGAGTGGTAGGGGATGTTAGATCAAGTATTTACTTGAAGCATATATTGAACAGTATTTAAAAAAAAGGGTAGGGAGTTTTTATTGCATTTAGGGATTTAGTAAAGGCAAAAGATAGAGTGGATAGGGGAGCAATGGGGCAGATTTTGAAAGTATTGGAATAGGGGGAAAAGTTACTAATTTTTAAAGAGTTTTTATAAGGATATGGGCTCGGGTTAGGGTGTGTAAAGGAGGGGAGATATTTCCCCGGTAAAAAGGTTTAGACAGGATGTGTAATGTCACCCTGGGTTTTTTTAATTATTTTTAGATGGGGGTTTTAAAAGAAGTAAATGCTAGGGGTTCGGTAGAGGGGTGGGGATTTTAAATTTTTTGGGGAAACAAATACAAATTTGGGAATTGACACAGTTTTTTTTGTGATGATATTTGTTATGGGAGATTCTAAAGAAAAATTGCAAAGGTTAGTGGATGAGTTTGGGAGTGTGTGTAAAGGTAGAAAGTTGAAAGTGGACATTGAAAAGAGTAAGGTGATGAGGGTATCAAATGATTTAGATAAAGAAAAATTGGATATCAAATTGGGGAGGAGTATGGAAGAAGTGAATGTTTTCAGATATTTGGGAGTTGACGTGTCGGCGGATGGATTTATGAAGGATGAGGTTAATCATAGAAATGATGAGGGAAAAAAGTTGATTGGTGCGTTGAGGTATATGTGGAGTCAAAAAACGTTATCTATGGACGCAAAGAAGGGAATGTATGAAAGTATAGTAGTACCAACACTCTTATATGGGTGTGAAGCTTGGGTTGGAGGCAGTGAGATGTCCTGTCTAAGGGCAATGTGTGGTGTAAATATTATGCAGAAGATTCGGAGTGTGGAAATTAGTAGAAGGTGTGGAGTTAATAAAAGCATTAGTCAGATGGCTGAAGAGGGGTTGTTGAGGTGGTTTGGTCATTTAAAGAGAATGGATCAAAGTAGAATGACATGGAGAGCATTTAAATCTGTAGGAGAAGGAAGGCAGGGTAGGGGTCGTCCTCGAAAAGGTTGGAAGGGGTAAGGGAGGTTTTGTGGGCGAGGGGCTTGGACTTCCAGCAGGCGTGCATGAGCGTGTTCGATAAGAGTGAATGGAGACGAATGGTATTTGGGACCTGACGATCTGTTGGAGTGTGAGCAGGGTAATATTTAGTCAAGGGATTCAGGGAAACCGGTTATTTTTATATAGCCGGACTTGAGTCCTGGAAATGGGAAGTACAATGCCTGCACTCTAAAGGAGGGGTTCGGGATATTAATAGTTTGGAGGGATATGTTGTGTATCTTTATACGTATATGCTTCTAAACTGTTGTGTTCTGAGCACCTCTGAAAAAACAGTGATTATGTGTGAGTGAGGTGAAAGTGTTGAATGATGATGAAAGTATTTTCTTTTTGGGGATTTTCTTTCTTTTTGGGTCACCCTGCCTCGGTGGGAGACGGCCGACTTGTTGAAATATATATATATATATATATATATATATATAAATATATATATTATATATATATATATATATATATATTAAATATATATTGTAAAATATAATATATATATATATTATTTTATTTTTTTATATTTAGAATTTGAGCATACATACAGAGGTACAAAAAAATACAGATAAGAGCAGCATGCCAAAGCCACTTATACTATGCATAGCATTACGGGCTGGCTTAAAATTAACTAAGCAATGATGAAATCAGCAGCGGCAGCAGCGTCTTCCAAGCTCCGTACTTGTTCCTTTCTCCTCAACTACCAGAAGCTACCAATGCTCCTATGATGACCTAGTTACAAGCCAAAACTGCACTACACAAGCGTATGCAACCCAGAAGAGCCAAAGATTACCAACAGTGAAACCTACAAATCGAAAAAATAGAGATCAAAGGAAGACTGCAAACAAACCGAAAGCAACACCCCGCTGCCAGCCGAACAACGTAACCCTAAGCTTCGTATACTACAACTTCTGTCTTCTTAACTTCAAACAATTCCTGTTAGTATTATGAGGCGCAATCTAAGAGGAAACCGCACCAAGGCCAGCAAGAAAACTCCAAAAAGATCAACTATTCAACAAGTGTAGCCAGGAGAACGCCGGCCCCAGCAACCACCCCACTCAACCACCACTCAAGGCCACAACCACAAACAAAAACAAACAAACATGTGCTGGCCACTAGCCCATCCTCCCCTCTCTTTCCTCCGGATTCTACCTACCAAGTAGTCTCTCAGGTATGACCAACGACCCAGATACCCTTAAAGTCATGCATCACCAACTTAGTTATTGAAAATATGAATCTTCGAAGACACTAACAAAACAAGACAACCATGATTACACAATCTCGAAAACAAAATCCTCAGTCTTGAACAAAAGTTATCGAACACCAGAATGACTAACTGTGACAAACCATCCAAGCAGTCATTGATAAGCCATACCCAGAGCAAATAATATCTATTAATATAACAAAGTTAAAAGCAGTAAAAGAATGGAAGAACAACTTAGATAACCAGGTTTCATGACTTAATTTGCTCTCCAAGAAATAAAACGACAAGATAAACTATCTGACGCAGTAATAGTTAACAGTCCACTTTTTTCCCCAGTGATATAACCAAACAA